CGGATGATGCCACATCCCTAAAGGTATCAAATTAGTGATGCTCGCTCCTGGCGGGAACAGAGAATGTTTTGGGAAATTAACCCTCCTGTGGAGCAAGCTGGGACGTCTCCAGCGAAGATTACGGAGTTAAGCACATCGACACAAGCTACGATATTGCCTCTCCCCACAGCTGCGGTGCAGTTTGAAGCGCATTTGTTGAAAAGACACCCTTGCTGAGGATGCCAATGGGAACGGTACCTATGGGTGCAGGGACACGGCCACACAGAGCCGGGACACGGGCTGGGGGGGGGCAAGAGGAGCACAGAGCCATTTCTCTGACTAGAGGATCTCCGGTGCAGACCGAGGACGAGCATTTCCAAGGCAAGACAAGATCGAGCACAGATCCGCAGCGTTATTTTGCTGGGCTCCGTAAGAGCGCTCGTTGCAGCGGGCCAAGAACTTGTTACTGGAAGGATTTGCTGTTGGAGCAGTTTCCTAAGAGAAACTCCAATGCCTGCAGACGAAAACTTGCAGAGAAAAGAGATAATTTTGCTAATGCTCTTCAAACGAAAAACTTAGCGAGCTACTTGATCTTAAGTCAACCTGATCTGAAAACACTGGGTCCAAATCAAAAACTTCTAACAATGCAATAAAACCCTGATCTGCAGTTTCCTATCAGTAGGATATTTCCGCAGCAGGGAAGGGTGTGAATATAGCCCTGGACCACATTCACGTCTCTGGACTGGCTCCTGCTGAGGCTACTGATTCCCACCAGGCGGTCAATCTTTTCTTCTGACAGGTCTGACGTGTGCCCACGCACGGGGTGTATGTGCCCTGCAGGGAACGGCATGTGGGCAGGGGGAAAAAGGGGGCCAAGCTCCCACACTCCAAATTCTTTAGGGCACAGAAATGCGGGTCCACACGGAACGAGCCCAAAGCTGTGGCAGGTGGGGATTGTTCAACTCAAACTGTTTCATTTGGATTTAAAATACTGAAATGAAACCTAGGCCAGAGCAGGTTTTGGTAGGGCTTTTTCATGGAGCAGTGGGCAAACAGAAAAATTAGACAAGCTTCCAGGTACACACAAGTATTCCTCAGATCAGATTGTCCCACCTTCGCTTCCAAAATCCTGGCTCGCTTATGTGCTGGGACTATTGCACGACCACCCCATGACCACCACAAGGAACAAAACCACCAAAAATGGACAGCTTGGTGAAGAAAACCTTTTCTATTTCTGCATTCTTTCCAACACCAGCCTATATTTAGCCCTTCCCTTCCAGGAGGTCACGTGCTCCAACCAGGATCGGGGCCACCTGTACTTGGGACCTCCGAGCGCTGCCATTCGCACGCTGACGAGCCTGTAAAATAAACACCCTTCTGTTGTAACCTACACCGGGCTATAAAGATTATTTTTTGCTATCTGACTGTAAATAAAGAAAATGCACAGGACTTAAGCTCTGTGGAGTGATTTATTTACACGTGATTAGGCAGGATGACTAGCAGCACCTTTTTTTTTTTTTATGACATTCCAGTTTCCCTGAAGGTTGGTATCCTCTTTCTTGTCTCAAATAAATCAAGCAATTCCCAGACACTGAAGCACACTTTTATTTTTGGATCACACCAGATCCAAACGCAAAAACGTAGCTGTATTGGTCAGAACACCACTGACAAACCTTCCAGACGAGGAGCAGAATACAGCAGCTCAAGACTTCCGTGAAGAGCTATTCCTGCAGCAAACATAAAGCCAGCCCAGCTCCGTGGGCTCCCTTTCAACTCACAGCAGCACTAAATCTGTTACTGCTCATTGTAGATGATTTGTGGGCAAGAAGCAGCAGTACGAGAGCTTCTACCGACCTCCCAGGCCCCACGGTGGCAGCGCGACAGATGTGTCTGCCCAGCTCGCGGCGACAGAAGAGCTCAGATAATGACCAAAGCCCCCAGCCCCATCGCCCCCACCCAGGAGAGGAGCTACCGGCAAAGCTGAGCCAGCAAAAATCTCCCAGCAGGGCAAGCCCAGGGATGGAGCATACGCTGCCAGAAGCAGGATGGAGGCAGATCAGGAAGGGGAGAGATCCCTCCAAGTGACGTGGGGCAAGAAAAGCCACGTCTGTACGAGCATCCTTCCCTTTATGCACCCTTACCCACAGCTTTCTAGCTGCCACAAGCGGCGGCAGGGGCAGGCAGCGGGACAGCCACGTCTGCCAGCCAGACCCAGCTGCAGGGCACCGCGGCGCACACGGCTGGGACCCCGAGGGCTGGGAGCCTGCCAGCACCAGCACCTGCTAGGGGTGTCCTCTCGAGCCTCTCCCCAGCCCGAATGCTGGCAGCCTGAGGGGAACCCCAAAGCAGAACCTGCCCTTCCTCATGGGAAGCCATCCTTGAGAGGGAAAGCCTCTGGTTCCTGCTGTTGGGAAGGAGGCTGAGCCCTGCACCAAGGTAAAAGGAGGTGACACGGCCGAGAGTGTGACATCCAGCGGGCACCACGTCCATCAGGCAGTGGGGGCAGCCACACCGGGCTGGCCTGGAGACTCCCACGAGCCACTGCAACACGAGAGTGCCACTTCATCTGACCACAGGCTGTGCCTTGAACCCACTCCATGGTAAAAATAACCGTACCATCACAAACTGATGCTCCCGCCAGCCCACAGTGACGCGTCTAAGCCCCCCGCAACGCTTCTGCGTGCAGCCAGCCTGCAGGAA